TCGGTCAGCATATCGTTGTTTTTCGGGCTGTTCGGTTGACGTGAGCGAGGAGAGGTTCTTGCCGTTTCGCCATCATGAGCGGACGCATATGTAGGAGATGTTGGTAGCCTAAATAGCTCGAAGAGTTAATTCTTATAATTTTTCTGGAACATGTCATGAATTTCGTCTGAAAATCTAGATAGTAAATGGGTGGTAGGAATAACGGAACCACTGTGCACATATAACAAAGCAGTGAAGCTTAATCGCGTTTCAGTTTCAGTCTATAAAACCTATTGCAACAGTTAAAAACAAGAAAATTTCAATCTGTTCATGATTTTTGCTAAGTAAGACGTTATTTTAAAGATGTTTATTGTATTCTTTCAATGCGATTAAAGGATTTTGGAGATATATATCGCTTCTTATGTTTCCTCGCAAAGATGTATTTACAAAAATAAAAAGACGTGTTTCTGACTAGCGTATAATAAAAGAACGAATTATATATTTCCTATTTATGAATGATATAAGCGGTAGAATAGTACAGGTTTTTGTGAACTTTAACTTGTTTAAATAATTATACAGAGGTGCTTAATAAAAACATATGACGTCACCGCGTATGAGAAAACCCGTTATAAGAAATACTTAACTTACATAATACAATATACTCATAAGGTTTAGAATTGATACTAAATAATCAATAAAATAATCCGTGGGTTCGATTTCCACCAAGTGATTTTAAATTTAAAATAAAAAAAAGAATCCTATCTGTTCATCTTGATATTTTTGACAGAAAATGTGTGGTGAGAATATCATCGCCGCATGCACTACACGGTAATGAAATACTAAGTTTTCAATCCGAATTTCGGTTGTCGTCTGTGATTTTCCAAAGCCAAAATAAGCCGACAACGCATGTAATTTCGATGTTACGTAGCTGGGGTATTTCAAGTTTTATTAAGTAATCGTACTTTCCTGTCTTTCTATCCGAGAACTGTGAAATTTTCGAGATATCACCAGTAGGAAGTTATAAACGCTCCGGCACAGTATATTATTATATTATATTCGACGAGTTCGTTGGTCTAATGATAGCAATGTATAGCTAATAATCAACGGGTCGTGGCTTCGATCTCCATCGGGTCCAACATGTTTCTTTCAATTTATAATTTGACAGAATTTTCTTGTTGAACTTCGTCTGGAAATCTGGATATTGAATGGATGGTAGGGATATCGAAATTCCGTCCGTGTCACGAACCACCGTCCACAGATGAAAAAGCCCTGAAGTTTAATCGTGTTTTGCTTTCAGTCTGTGGAGTTTCAAATATCCAAACACAAAATGGGTGGACAGTGCATCTTGTGTAGATGCTATATGGCTTACTTGTGTGTCCTCCACACAAAAAGAACGCGTTTATACGCGTAATAATACATACAAACATTAATAGAAATGCAGGCTTCATGTAAACATTATGTAAATGAGGCCTTTATAATCAACGCGACGATAACAAACCATCTATTCTATCGTTGGACTTGCGCCAGCCTGGAGATGAGCTAGGCATTTATCCAACACTTCCTGGTAGATAGGACCTTCACTAGTGCCTACCTAGTTCCTTAGAGGTACCATTATGCAAATATTATCTAATAAGATACATCATTTTTTTCAAAGGTAAGTTAAACAAGTTCCAACAAAAAAAATTATGACTAACTAATCTATAAAGAACTGGTCGTCTCTGTGTTTCTATAGTTAATTGTATTATCAAGTTCAACGAGGGGTTCGATTCCCTAGAACTCAAACAATACTTTCTCTAGACGCGAAAGTAGCGCTTACCTACTTATGATAAATTTACTCGTTAATAAAAAAAATTTAACAGATAGAGAAACATCTAAACCACGCCATAATAAGGGTTCATGATTTTTCATAAAAATAGAGTAAAGAAGATTTTCTATAGACGTGTGCTGATACAAGCGAAATGTAAAAGCTATTAACTTCAGTTAGTTGTTCTTTAAGAAACCCTCGAATTATATTGAAACATCTTTGTCATAGTCGTGGATGTGTTTGAAATGTAAATAAACTATTTTTAATATTATACGGCAATTAGAATAAGATCGGAATGTAAACGTTGATCTATATACAAACAAAACAACAGACATAGTCTGTTTGTACATTGTTATTTGGGTTCGCTAGCAAAGTTATAAATAACATAAAAACATATTTAATCCTTTTGTGTCTGTATGTGCACCTCTGTAGCTGAAACAATCTCTTTATCCTAGCTTAGATTTAGTTGTATCACAAAAAGTTACAATGAATTGTATGCAGATCGGGTTATGTAGACATATTTAAAAAATAATTATTTTATAAAATCTAGACGAAGTCATAAGCGACAGCTAGTTTAAAACATGTAAATGAATAGGCGTTTGTGTAAGGAAGTGTTCGCGCCTGCGATCTCGGATGTCGCTAATTCCGTGCGCTTGCGCTGAATCACTAATCAAGAAACGTATCAGTATTCCGATAGCCGATGTCCACTCTACAACAATCGCTAAAAATACAAGAACTTAACTACAAGGGCGTCTCATGGCCGAATGACCTTACTGAGATGACATAAAATTACTACCAAATGTTTGTTCCTGTTTTGATAACGAATTTAGTGCTTTAGCTACTTCGCACTACGTCATTTTTTTATGATAGACGCAGGACAGATAATTATGCAGTTCATTTGACTGAACGTGGAATACCCCAGCCACGTAACAACTAAACAGGATATGCTGTCAATTTATTTTGGCTTCCGTCAGTGTATTCAGAAATCCACAGACTAAAAGCGAAACGCGATTAAACTCGGCGGCCTTTCCATCTGTGGTCGGAAGTGTGACTTGGACGAAATTTCGATATTTCTACCTTCCATTCAAGATTTTCGGACGAAGCCCAACATATTCTCAAATAAATTTTAAAGTGATTAGAAACACGTTGGTCTCGGTAAGAATCGAACCCACGCCCTTTTGATTATTAGCCATACACTGCTACCATTTCACCAACGAGCTTGTCACAATGTACATTTACGTCGATTGAAGGTGACAAACGGACAAGGAAGTTGAATACTTTTTTTTAAATAAATATTGACAAGCTGATTCGTTTAATGGTAACAATGTCTTGCTTTTAACCAACGGGTCATGACTTCGATTCCCAGCAGACCTAACTTTCAGTGAATGAAATTCCGATTGTCCAAATCCAAAATTGGTCGACAGCACGTCTTGTTAAGTTGTTACATGGATGTTATATATGCACCTTCTATATTATTAATCCTGTAATAAAAACTATATATGAAAATAATGATATTATTACATTTGAATAACTTAAAATACTCTGAAAATTTCTTAGTCAATTCACCGTCCATTTTGGGCGTAGAGAAATAAAAAGACATTATCAAATAAATCTAAATATATTGCGAACTTGTAACAAATGTAGAAACTTAGCTCGTTATTGCTAGTGTAAAAATTCTATTCTAAACTAAGTCCAATAAAATCGACCACATTTGACAATACCATCACAGTACCTTGTCAAAATAAGTCTTGAAATTGTCGCATTATTGTTATTAATACGCGTTAATAAATAACCAAAAGACAAGCAATTTTGCACTCTTTGAGAAATGTTTCCTTACAAGATTATAGCGTGAGATTTTGATGGCATGTGCGGTCCTATTCAATTGGCATAAATATCCTTATAGATTAAAAATCTACTTAGATTTACACCTACACGTCATCGTCAATTTTTTCGACCCATTGATACATGCACCTCTTGCGCTATGTTATTTTCATTTTATTCCTTAATATTTGCGTACTAAGGTTCAAGGCCTTATGCTTTGCCGGAAAAATAATTGATGATGAAATTACAGAGTTTACTTTTAGTAAACTCGTCTGTAGTTTACGCTAATAGTACACATTTAAATAAAACACTTTAACATTTTATAACCAGATGTATATATTAGCGCTAGGGTAACAGTTATTATATATTTTGATATCAGAGACACTCTCCATCTTCAGTCTCGTGACAACGGCTCTGCAAACGCACGTTCGAAACGCCGAGCCGTAGTTAATAATTTTCAAACAAGTTTAACATATATATCGCGTTTTAAACTGTTAAAGGGTTTTAGTTAAACTTTAATGTGTTTCATATGGCATTATATAAATGATAAATCTATTTAGATTCAAAACATTACACGGGCGGGATTCGAACCGGCATCCACAGCATTCCGTATTGCATATCTAACCAATTGAGCTACGTGTCCTACACGTCATCGTAGAAATATTTTTCTAACTATTCCTTTTAAATTACAAAATCAAGCAAAACTATTTTATACTAAGATTATTGCACTCAAGAATTCAAGTTCGTAATCATTTGAGGTAATTAACACGCTTAGGCACCAAAAGATATTGCCTTTTCTTGCCTTAATTGCTTACTTAGCAAGAACTTATTGTCGACATAACGATAAAAGCTAAAACAATATATGGAAGACATTTCAGCGTTTGTAAAAGCTTTGCACGTATAGTCCAATAGTTTTCCTTAAACTGTAACCAACTGTTGCACATCATATTTCTATACAAATCTATCTATTTGCTATTTTATGATTCTACACAAAACTAAATGAACAGTCTCTTTCTAATGCCTTACATCTAAACAGTTTACATATATTTTTTTCTTCAATCAAAACAACAGAAGATGATGAAATTCAATAGAAAATTAAATTGTTGCCTTCGTCTAGTTCGTAAATTAATTTAATGTACTTAATTTTTTTTTAATTAAGTATTTATTAAAATAGTTCTACATAATAGAAACCTGCCTATTAAACATCACTAACAGTAATTTTTTCAGTCACAACTATACTTAACATGTAGTTCAAAATTTAGGAAATTTTCGCTATTGTTGGAAGGTCGGTTTCATATTTGAAATAATATCCATAAAGGTGGGCAACTGAGATTGGACTCATTTAAATAAATAAAATTAATGATATTGGTATCCTGTATAGGATAGGAATTTAAATTTAAGACACATCGCAACTCATTTTTCTAACTCCAGGTATATCTATGAAGCCTCGCTGGAAGACATCTACGTCAGTATTATCCCGGATTCGATCAGCCAAAGCCTTCTCCTGGGCAAGGGGGTGCCAAGCGCCAAGTGTACACCCAGGATCGTCTCCTTGTAAGTAATAATGACAGCGTTTCGTTGCGCGCACTGAAGGTACATACTCGAAAACGCGGACTCGTTTGCATCGGTGTAAAGCGAACCAAATGCCTGAAACAAGAAATACATTTGTGAATAGCGCCATCTGTAATCCTAATATTATTAAACTATAGTGTATTTTTTATAACTTGGCAAGAGACCACAATAAATATGGCTCATTTCAAACCATAGAGAACTAGTGATGCCCTTTTTACAGTAGTCGTTGCCACAGTGAGACAGGGTTAAAGAAACATTATACATCTATGTTTTACCACATTTAATATTCAAAATCTCTTTTTAACGATTTATTTTTTATGTCATTATTATTTAAGTCAACGTTTGAAACGCTTTTCAGCGACCGTGCATGGGTGGAACCGACCTTCATTTGTGGTGAACTTCGATTACATCCCATCCCTATGAAAATTTCAAACTAAAGATATTTTAATCTGTGCATTGGCGTAAATTCATTTTTAGAATTTTCATTATTTTAAGCATGAAGTTGTGGTTTTTAATAAGTGATATTGAGGTAGTTTATTAGTTTAATATATAATCCGGTGATTCAAAGTGTTTGTAGAGTGAATCAATGTAAACCTTGTGAGAAAATCACAAATGTATGTAAAGTGTGCATTTTTTTTACCAAAATGCCAAGTGAGAAAAATTACACTATAAGTGTGTGTTACAACTCTAATACATTTATTTAACATAACGTGATATAGATGATGAAAAAGTAAAGACTATATAGAAGACACGTATTCTTGTGTTCCTTTCGTTTCAACCTTATTAGTGTTCCATAGCTGGGCACACGTCTGCTCTCCTTTAGATAGGATTTTAAAGGCTTTGGCCCAGACCCACAACACTGCTCCAGCGCAGATTCAAAGCTCTAACGACCATATTATAGCTGATAACCATGACACTTGGCTTAAAACGAATTACAAGTTTAAATTTATCGTAAATATTACCCAAAAATCCTGAAGATGGAGGATTACGCCGTAACCTGTATGGAGATAACTGTTGTAACACATTCCATAATTGCCAGAGGACTCTTGGATTCAGTAAATGCACATCAGCACGAGGTCGCTTTTCCAGCAGTCTGCAAAAGAAAAACATAAATATAAATTTCAGTTAATGTTAAAGTCATATCCAACAGCCATTAATTTCCTACATGTGAACCCAGGTCTCCTCTCCTATACAAGGTTTTAAACCCAAAGATTTCGTCCCGTGCGGCTCGCGGAATTTGACGACTACCCGCACGAAATAGGTTATGATAAAGTGACAGTGGTAGTCGGCCCTCCATGTTTGTTTCATTATAAAATTGTATTAAAACAACAATAAACGAACCTCTTTGTTATTAAATTAATCGTAAACTAAGCTATTATATGTATATATAATAGCATAATATTTAAGACAAAAAATTATAATGGTGTACGTTATGTATTATTTAAACGCACCTTTTGTAAACTGAAAATAGCGGAAAGTCTGGGTGTTCGTACCAGTCTTCAAGAGTTGATGAATAGTTCGCAGGATCCCAGATTAATATGGAGACGTCTTCATACAGAGGATCTTCCAGGAACTTGTATTCTGGTTTTGAAACAACCTACGACAGAGATAATATGAGATAGGAGAGGGCAGCACAAGCACTTGATGAAATGTGAAAAATTGTAGCCAAATAACTTCTTAACAGGATCCGCTATCGAACTATTGGGGCTTTTGATATTCCCAGAGATCCACAATCTGCAACCGAAAGGCGATTAAACCTCGCGGTTTTTTTATCTGTGGACGTGGTTCGAGACCCGGATGGAATTTCGCTTTCGGAAGTTTGATGTTTCAGAAAACATATAAATTAGAAGCATATTGGTACCGATGATTATTATTAGCCATACTTTGATACCATAAAACCAATGAGCCTTTCAAACGTTCCTTTATTAAATATTTTCAACTGTTTAAAACGCGAATATAATTCTAATTCATTTTGCTCACTCACTTGGGAATTTAAAATACGAAAGGTTGTTTTTGAGCCCACATCGTCTGTATAATTTTCAGTAGGAGCATTATTGAACCTTAGCACCATCTCGTGGGAATCTGGAATCAAGATTGAAGACTGATTAGTACAATACACTATAAAACCAAATAAAGTAAAAAAAACCAATAGTATATCAACGAACGAATTGAAAAATTGTTGTCCACATATTATAAACATGTGATAATAATGAGACGCATACCATTGTTTTTCGGGGTGTTCGGCCGACGTGAGCGAAAGGGGGTTCTTGACGTTTTTTGTGTTGTGAACATCTCCTGTTAGCCGCGAAGGCTTTACACAATTTAATAATAAAACGTTTTATTGCACAAACGAATTAAATACAAGAATTAAAATAACAAGTTGTTAACGTTAAAAGTGTCTGCAAGAGCGACCTTATTGTCTATAGCTGTTTCATCTTGACAATAGGAAAGAAAGGAAAGAAACGCATTGTATAGGAACAAATATATATTGTACGGAATATGTAGATTTGTATATGAACTTTTTTGTTAACAACTATTTATATTTTATTATTATATTACATTATAAATTTATAACCAATAGTTACAAAAATGTACTGGTATATCCATTTTTTTATGCGGTTACATTATGGACAATGGCAAAACCTTTCTTTCGACCAACTAAGTTTACTAAGTTATAACAACATAAAAAGTCATTGTTTGATTTCTTCTATTGAAAAATAAAATTAAAATATATACACATGCAGAGTGACAGGAAAGCGGAACAATGGAAGTAAACAACACGATTAGATATAAAATGCTCTGTAATTACATCTACTTATTAACAATTATTGAGCAAAACGTTCACTTTTTTCTTGGAGGAAGATTTCCTTGACCTATGTGCTTTGATCAGGGGTAATTAGAGCAACTATTCTTAGATTGGACTCTACACTTATCAAAATGGGGCAACTATCTCCTCTTCCCCTGATATATCATCTAATTTGTTAAAAACCACACTGTGAAAATTACGAAAACATAATTTTTAACGCCTGCACAAAAAGTAGACCAAAATACATACGCAGCGCTACTTTTGTTAATAAAAAATTAAGAAAGTTTAAAAATAATGCAAAATACAACTATTTTGGTAGGTTCGCATAAGATCTAAAACTAAATATCGTTTACGCAGGTACAGACATATAAAACACCATTAACGGTTAAAACACGTCTTCTGTAACCGCGTCTGTTAGCTGGAAGTTAGGATCTGTTTAATAAAGCAACACATTATCAAAGTAATATTATAAATTAACAATATACAAACCCCGTACATTTCATACTTAAGCTGTTAGCCACGATGTCGTTCGCGTCCCTTCCCGTCGTTCTTGCAAGCTAATCTTAAAAGATAGACATATAGCGTCGCGGACTTTTTTAAAGAAGAATAATTCTTTCGTACACGTTTTTAAGTTATCTTGAACCGCTTTCGCAGCGTACGCAACTGAAACCACAGGGATGAAAAATTTCCCCCGCTTTGTTCACTTCGCACGCTGTATCTTCGCTTCTATTAGTCACAGCGCAATGTTTTATAGCCTATAGCCTACCTCGATAAATGTTCTAACCAACAAAAAAAAATCAATTCGGACCCGTAGTTCCTGAGATTAGCGTGTTCAAACAAACAAACTCTTCAGCTTTAGGTATATATTTTAGTATAGATGTCGATAGGAATATTACCTAATAAATACACCCCATAATTAGATCAATTTAATAATAATAATCATATTTTATATCCATCATTGTTGAGACAATTATTTATTGCAACACGTGCAAGAAGACAGTTTAAATTGACACAAATAGGGCTAACTATGAGACTGTTAAATAATGTTTGTGATACATTATTAATGGTTTTAATTGACCGTGGCAATTCTATTGTTTGCAGAAATCGTCACCATTTGTGACATTTATTATACATCATAATATAATGAGCCCATTCATTTTACAGCGCCGACTGAGATTCTAGTTTTTATGACCATAAGAGTCCAACTTGGAAACACTCTGCCTCTTTGTAACCCCATAAAAAAAGTGAAAGTTTCCCCCTCACGGGGCATGGGGCGAACACATTTCTGTGTTCCGTTCTTTAACAGACAAGCAGTTGATCAGAACTTCTGTGCCCTGCTACCAACACTTTTTTGGTTCCCTGGGATTCGAACCCAGGACCTCTCGCGCTTAACGTTTTGTTAGCTTTAAAATTTTGTTTGAACCTGCTAATATCAGGAACTCCTTTTAACTGTTGTGAAGACTTTAGGCCATAAAACACCACGCTGGGCAATAGAAGCGAAGAAACAGTAGGAAATTTGGAAAATATAGGAAAAATTACGCATTAAATACAATGCGAAAACGGCGATCTTTAAATGATCTAAAAAATGTCCGAAACAGTTTATTCTTTTGATATTAACTTGCAAGAACGACGGGATGTGACCGACAACGTGGGTAACAGGTTAAATGTGTATAGATGAAGATAAGGTTTGCGAAAGCAAATTTGACTGCCCACTATTATTATTTTACGCGGACGAAGTCTAGTCTACAGTTAGTAATATATATACTTATGGAGCAAAATATGTAATACCTATACTTCGCTGGATCTTACATAAGCCGTACATGGTCGAGATATTTAGCTATTTTAAGATTTTGTGCATTTGGTATTGTTCGTCGTTTCTACCTCTAGGCCATAACTTATTACAGCTTTCGAGAAAGGACAAAGACGCGTGTGGTTAGGTGACTAATACGATAAAACTAAAATAAAATTATTTGTTTAAGTGAATCATCGCGTGTAGGAACCATCTTTTACGATATTGTTTTATTGTCTAGACAAAATCTTTACAAATAGGTTATAAAGCTAAAGAGTTTGTTTGTTTGAAAGTGCTTATCTCTGGTACTACTGGTTCGAATTTCAAGTATTATTCATCTTACGTGCTTACGTGCTTACGTGCGTTGTGAAAGCAGTTCAAGAAACCAAATGAGAATGATTCTTCTTTAAATAGTAAAAAAATGTGTATGTATGTGTAAAAAAGTCTAATCTCTGTAATGTGGTGTAAATCTTTAATGTGTAATCTTTTAAGACTACACATTAAAGATTATACTTTTAACATTTACTTTTTAAAGATAATATTGGATAGAGCATCAGCACGTAACGCTGTTAGTGCTGGTTCAAGTTTATTTAGGATAGAGAAAAATATATTGTTTAGAAACATGTGGGGATGGGGATGGTGGGGGTGGGGGATCCCGGTGGGGATCTTTGATAATTATCCATTATACATTGCTACCATTATACAAAGAGCTACCCAAACGAATTATCGAGATAAATAACTATATTATGTTATCGTCTATCTCAAAGAATGCGCCTCTTTTACATAAACGCACAAATTTTGCATAAATACGACGACATCGGCGCCGACTGAGCCGCCATATTTGTATTGCCAATATAGCCATATTGTGTATCTGATATCTAATAGACCCTCGTGTTTATCATATTGATGGACCGATCTTTCACAACAATTCTGTTGTCTTACAATATATATAATTATAATTATCTTATTTAATTCAATTCAATAAACTATTTTTAAACCTTTAAGGACCCAAAATGTCAAGTTGAATATTGGAGTTACGAAAAAACTAACGAGTTTTAATAGTGAATGCGTCCACTATTACAGGGTAAGAATGGAAACATTTAAAAGTTATTTATAAGTATATATTTGTATGTTAGTCGTTCGGTAAAATTATTTTTCAAATAACAATAAAATTGGATAAAATGATTGCGATATTCTGTATTACATAGCAGAAACTACAAATTCATTTAAAAAATATATTTATTTTTATTACCTACAGTCAACGTAGGTATGTTAGAACGTAATAGCGCAAGCGCACTGCGCTATTTAATCAAAAGGAGAAATATTTTGTATTCCAACTGATATCATATATTGTGTAGGACGAATAATATAACGAAATAACTGTTTCTTTTCATTCCAATATGTAAATCATTAGTTTGCCCTTTGACTAACATACTATGAGTGTTATGAGTAAGCGCAAGAAAAGTCCCGTGAACAATTTTATAATACGCATACGGTTTTGTTTCTTCGAATTGTATTCCGTACGCATATTAATGCGCTAGCGAACAATTTTACAAAGCGTAGATCCGATGCGATAGCGCATTTCATTTTCGATGTTGTACTAAAAGCTATGAGTCTAACGGTCTACTATATTTGTATGTCGCTTTTACTTAGTAAAAATATGATTCAGATCCCTCCAAAACCCCCTTTTTCTGATGAATTTTAGCGTATTGAGCTCGGGGCCTCTAATACTACTCTCTAATCGGACACTGATTACCTATACGTTCGTAATTCTTTATTCTTCTTTCTCGCCTTCCACACATGTGCCGATAAGAAAGAGACACTCGATATGTTAAATCTATATAGTCAACTACCACAGTAGATAACAAATTACTTTTTAATGTCCCACAAGTCGTCTCACAGATGCCGACGTTATTTGCCATACTCTATAGGTAATAGTTTTACAAAAAGACCGAAAGATGTTAACCACTCAAAAGCAAACATCTGTCAGACTCCGGGGGAGTAACTTACTTAAGTAAATCAAATCGTTTTACTGATGATGTCGTATTCAATGGTTACTTAAAAGGTCACTGAAGTTAGGTTAAATTAAATTTAGTATATATAATCTTGTAAACTGTACACTAAAAATTATGCTCCCTTAAGCCACAACTTAGTAAGCCCATGTAAACAGTTAAAACATCAATACTACTGATTATACTTACTATACATACCTATAAATTTCCCGAAACGAGATCCTAACAAAGCTCCTGCACTCATAACCACAGCGCAGGTATTATACATTCGGTTCCCCTGCAGCGGAGATGGTGGAATCCGGAAACCAAGTCTCGAGAACGGCTCGTCATTAGTTTCCACCGTCCTTAATTCAACATTTCTTAGAGCGCACAAAATATCCTTCCGTGTATTTCTCATTGGACTATCTCTTTCGTATTTTACATCATAAGTATTTTGGTGGTCCAGTCCCGATGTGAACACTTTGCTGTCTCCCATCAGCACGCGATGGAACTCCTTCAAAACGAGCTCCCTAAATTCCCTCGACTGATCCTCACATTCTGTGGTTGTCAAATCGGCGCACTCGTATTTATCTGTATCAAACTCCAATATGGCCTTATGCAGGTTAGGAAACCGAGGCTTCCCATGACTTTTAACGATTATATTAACGGACGGTCTATCTGACGTCAGACTGGAAGACTGTGAATGGCTAGTCTTAAGCACTACCACGGACCTGCGGGACTTTTGTATAGCGTTGTAAAAGAGCGATCTGTTCAGGATATTAAAAGCGTCAAACTTCTCGGGAGAAGAGTCTTGAAAGTGTAAACGGGAGCTCTTCCGTGCACCACTGAATTGTGTTCCACTGAACAATTTCTGCCGCTCGATGCTCATCCAATATTGAGACCATATTAAATAGAGATAGCCGCACATCCCGAAACACAAAAGATTTATAAAAATCCACACAGACATTGCCGCGGCCTTCATTTTTTATAACACGTTTACTAAAATACGCACTGTGTCCTAATTAACATTATGGCAGTGGTAAGCAATTCCTTTTCAAGTGCATTATATTGCCTATTAAGCACTTAGGTAACTGTTAGGGTGGAGTACTTATCAGCTGATTTCAATACAGCAACGCGCATGCGCGGCAATTGCAGATTGGATTTTGTTTTTTTTTCGTATATTATTAAAAAAGTAATATAAATTATTCACTGCAATAAAATATAGGTACTACATACTAAAATATACTGAAGTTACGTGACATTTTTTTTTTGATAGGTGCATATTTGTTACCGATCAAAGCTTTTAATTTATATAATGCCATAATGTGCAATAATATGTGTAAAATATTAACATTTTTTAGGCTTTTAGTAATTATAATGAATGCAGTGAGTTTAAAAAATGTTTTCATTTCATACAACATAAAATATTAAAATGAACTCTTGCTTATTTTAACAACAATATGACAATAATATTATGGCAACATGACAATAATATAATGTTCTTGAGGTACCAAAGTTCTGACCAGCCTTTTTTAGAAAATGTAACAATATAATTATTTATTCTATTAATATTTACATATATGCACTGTCATAACAGATGGAATCCAATGTGACAGAGATCTTAAAAAACTAAACAATTTATATATAATAGAACTAAAATACACAAACTTAAACCATAGTATGGTTTAAGTTTCTTTCGTAACTCAAAATGTACAATATTAAAGTGGATCCTAAAATATAATTGATATACATATTGTAGGACTATAAGAATAATAAAAAAAATCTATAAAACTTATTTTTTATTTCTACACAAGCAATCTTTTATGTGGTCATCTACCAAGCCGCTTGCCTGCATAAAAGCATAGCAAATTGTAGATCCGACATATTTGAATCCTCTTTCTTTCAGTGATTTTGACATTTTAATGGATATATCTGTTTCAGATGGTACTTGATTAGGGGACGTCCAATTATTCACTATTTGTTTTTTACCTACAAAACTCCAGATGAAATCTGAAAAGTCTTCACCGTTTTGCTCCATATTTATAAAACATTGGGCATTGTTAAGTATTGATTGAATTTTTCCCTTGTGCCTTATTATTCTTGCATCAATTAATAAGTTTTGAATATTCTCTTCATCTAGTTTAACAATTTCATATGGATCAAAATTGTGGAAAAGATTTCTGTAACTATTTCTTTTCTTTAGTATTGTAATCCAGGAGAGGCCAGCCTGTTGTCCCTCTAAACACATAATTTCAAATAGTTTTCTACTTTCATACTCTGGTATACCCCATTCATTATCATGATAGCTTATATAGAGAGGGTCTTTGTTTACCCAGCTGCATCTTGTTATTTTAATACCTTCCATTTCATAGCATATTATTAATTAGTAAGAATAAAAAATAAATTACCTCAACTGCGTTTATTTTCGTTAGTCAGTATGTAGGGCTTAGCATACTCAGGCTTAGAAAACTTTTAAAAAGTAAGAGTCAACTTACTTGATTATTAATAATCATTGTATTGTACTTATGAATTGATAATTGTATATTTGTAAGCAAGGAAAGATTAATACTTATTTTTGAATTACTTTGTACCTGAACTTTTGACATACGTACCACAGATTATAATTTACGTCGTCAATTATTATAATAATATTATATCGGATGTCCGCTGGGAATTGGGATAGAGAATCTGATAGCACCAAAGCGGCCGTTAGTGTATTTCTTAGATTATATACCTATAGATATAGTCACTGACCACAGATAGGACAAAGACAGATTTTTTGTTGCTTTTTTTTCAGTGCGACTTTTACAGCCCAAAACACTACGATTTTTTATTAAAATACTGTCTACAGAGGAAATATCAAAAAGTTATCTTTATTGCTTCTCACGATTGCTTCTCTTGCGCAATTGAAATCTGAACAGGACGACAAACAATAATTAATAAAGAGTTAAAGAATCACAGACCAACTATTTAAATTCTGTTGGTGCAAATTTTACGTGATTTAAGCTAAATATGCCATATATTCGAGCAAATGATTTTTGACGTGACGAATTATATTAATAACACTCGCCTATTTTAACTTCAACATAACATTATGTTACAAATACCCTCGACCCTACTTGTCCCAATATATTATGAATTCATTATTAATGTTGGTGTTTTTAAGTATTAAGCATAAGAATAACTGAATTATGAATTTAATAATCACGTGTTAGTCGTATAAGCTAGGTGTATTTAAATTAATATAGCCCGTACAAATTAACCACTTGGGACCGCCATAAACTCGGGCTAACTTCGATTGGTGGTTACATCGGTGTGGTTTGATATATCGACGAGTTTCAGTGCCATGAATGAAATTTTTCAATATTCGCAAATTACTATCATCCAATGTGCCATCAGAAAGTTGTCGTAGTAGATTCAAGTATTCTGGTTTTGAAAGTTCAATTGCGATGCGGTTCATCTAAAAAAAGGAAATATGTTAGGTTGGTGGTAATTATTGTACATTGTTAAAAAATGCGATAAATATTTAAAAAATAACGTACAATCAATTTAAGTTGACGATCCGTCAAAGGCGTTGTTATGGGACCTAATAACAAAACACTACTATTCTGTTGTAAAGTTTCAGGATCCACCAGTATAAGTTCGTCACTTCCGTTGCTTTTTATTTCATCATTTAATATAAGAAACATATATTCGTTTGCTGTTTTCTCTTTTATTTTTAATGAGGGGCTGAAGTTCTTCTGTAGCTTCGAGCTCTCGTGTTTACCGGACTTTTTACAACAAAGAGTTTTTAATTGATTAACAAGAACATTGAAAAGCAATTCTTTCTTATCATCATCGAGGTCTTCTTGGTTTGACTGCGAATGGTAGTTTAAAAGACTGTTTAACTTCTTTAAGGCTAAATATTGTGCATCGTTATTAGAATCTAAGCTTATTCCTTTGTTATCTAATCTAAAAACCGGCATTTGCTTATTTTCATTCTTGGGTTTCACGCTCAGTTGTTTGATATCTGATTTTGCTGGAAACTGATTAAACACGTCTTTATCGAGTACTTCAAATGCTGCACTTTCCCCTTGAAAATTATGATTCTCTTTATTGATCTCAAAGCCAGAAGCAATTTTCGCAATGTCCCTTAAATCGTATACGTTCTTTGAGGGTTGGTCATTCAATAACTTTAATAATTCTTCATCAGATAATTTTGATAGTAAATAAGTTGCGTCATCGCCTAAAACAATTGTATCGATTAATTTGTCGTAAAATGGCAAAAAGACAAGTCGTGTCTACAGATATGAAATCAGCAAGAAACAATAACAAATTTAAACTTTTCTCACCTTCACTTTTTATTACGGAGGTTTTCGGCAACTCCTGATCTTTAGGCAAATAGCTTTTAGATGATATTATATCCGCTAAATCATTTTCTGGTCCATCGCCATCCATAAAGTACGAGTGCTTATCAAATGTGGACATCGCGGATACAATCTTAAGCTAAATAATGAAAATAAGTCTTAAAGGCATGACTTTTAATGCGCATATTTATTTATAAGTAACGTATTATATTTACCGATAGTAGAATATTAATCCATAAAAAGCATACATGCGTAATAAAAATCATATCTCTAAATGTCTTTTATTGGTTTTGGTATACACAAATCTTACAAAGTAATTTCACGCCACTTTTAATTTCATTTCTCGTTGTTAGTCAAAGTTACTAAAGCAAAAGAACCGTTCCAAGTTCATTATGGCTTTATGTTTACAGAAACTACAATGGACAAAGTGCTCATAAACCAGCGTTATCATTTTTGTGGAACACAATAAAAATAAATTATTTCCATAAGGTTTTAAATAAATTGTTTATTTTAAATAATTGTGCGCTGCATATTTTACGCATAAATTGTTATAACAGGAGCGTTACAATGAAATGGTTCTATCACATAACATAGAAATAAAACATAATATAATTCAGCAATCAGTCTACACACTTTGATGACATTTAACGATTTCCTCATTCCCCCGGGATACCAATGAATCACCATGAAAAAGTAGGTAGTTTTAGATAACAACTGACTTGTTAAATTTGTCTTTGATTTAGACGATTTGTCTGTTGTAGACGATTTTTATGACATTTAATTATGTATTTATTTGGTAATCGTCTTGTGTAATAACAAAATTTTAAGTCAATAATATAAAGTAATCTGTGTCTTCTGTCAATTGTCATTGTCAAGTTTAAGAATTATTGATTTTTCTTTTACTCGAACTTCCTAAATTGAAATTTTTATATTAATTTTACTGGATATTGTCGTGTTTAAAGTGTAAATTTAAGCGAACTCAAAATGAACATGCCGTTTCCAACATTGATGCCTCGTATGATAGACCCTAAATGGTTTAATGCCGACAGCCCTTGCGACGAAGACGCCGAGCTTACAAGTCTGGAGCAAGAATATAGTTACAGTGTAAGTTTCATTCGAATTTACTATTTCTTTTCTAGTTTGAAAATCTGTAATATTATATTTATCGTCTATACATAACTTTTATTCCGCAGTTGACTTCGATCGGTCAGAAGTTTAACAAAAGGGCCCCACTTGGTAAATCTGATCAGGAACCCATGGAAGAAGAAGCAGAATCTGATGAAGAAGGTAACTTATAATTTAATGTGCTAATTGAATAAAAAGTAGTTATTTTTTTTATTACAATTCAGTTGTTTCGTTTTGACATATCTATAATATGTATTAGTTTATGTGTAAAACTATTTTTCCAGGTAATGATGAATCTGATGACACAGAGGAATCTCACGATGAAGATGAAGAGCTCAGAACCTCTTACACTCCTCCTCGTAATAACAATGATGTCCCAACCGACTCGGCAGATGATCTTCAACTTCCAGATGCAAATTCTTTAGATCAAAGTGCTGTATGGCCCCATCTTAGAAGTTAAGATTGTTTTCTAAAATCCCTTTCTAATACAGTATTATGTAAAAACCTGTGTTTATTTTCATTTTCTCAATTTATTAGTGTAGAAAATAAAATGTCTGAGAAACAATAATTTGAGAAAATGATGTGACTTTTATTGATAAGTGTTCCCATGCAATGTAAAAGAAAACATTTTTGCATATTGTAAAAAAATCATATATTTTTAACTATAATTTACAGATTTATAAATATCAGTTCAATCACAAAATGCTTTTAAGTATTTATTATAGCTTTGATCAGCTATTAAATTGAAATATGCCAAACAAATATACTAATAATAAAAATTGTTAAAACAATATAAATAAAATCTACTAAAAGACATTCTATGTTAATACTGAAAAATAAAGCATAACAAACACATATCATAATTGTGAAGAGAAAATAATGTGAAATGAATACCAAACAATCAATTGTAATTACTATCTACAAAGTTTACACATGCGTTCCTTTACACAACTTAATACAGTAAACATATTGTATCACTAGCAATCAATCACTAATAAATGTCTGTGACATCAACAATAATGTTGGCAACTCTAGTCAGGAGTGGTCCAATTTTGTCCTTGTGGATTCCTTGCCATTTTCCCTTAAGACATCTTTCAACATAGTCATGCGCAGATTTTTTAGCTGAAACAATGTATTCAATTTACTGACAATATTAAAGAAGGAACAAATAATAAGTTTCTGCAAGGAAACCAGAAGTTTTAAAGGGGACACAGTGAAAAGTAAGGAGAAAATGGGTGTAATAGACAGCAGATAATGTGGACTGATCACCAGCTATCTAGGCATCTAGCTTCAAAAACCACGAATTTCCATACTAACATTCACACCCCCCCCCCCTCTTAACCACCATCATACCCCCCCCTTTTAACCACCATCCTACCCCCCCATTTTACCATCTGTATACCGAATTTCATTCAAATCCGTTCAGTAGTTTTGGCGTGAAAGAGTAACAGACAGACAGAGTTACTTTCGCATTTATAATATTAGTAAGGATAGTAAAGTACCCACTTGATGGTATGGAGCATTTAGCAACGTTCAAGGTAAAGAAGATAGCGCTTTTCTTCACTAGTGGGTTATATTCATCACAGTAATAGTGAAAGGCCATAGCAATATCTGATGGTACTCTTTCGACATTCTTAACAAGTAAAACGCCTCTTTTACTAACATCTTCTCGGTATTTATTAATTAGTTCAATATCAGACTTCAAACTTATAACATTCGAATTATCTAATACAATATGTTGCACATTTTGAGTGTCATTACCTGAAAAATATAAACAGAATTATAAAATTTTCTTATAATGATGGTGAAGAAATTTCTTTAGAACTTTTATTTAGTTTGGTCGTCTCCATTTTTATGAAACAAAAGGATGTGAAGGTCATTTTTTGATACTAATTAACAAATACAAATAATGAAATTTCTCAGATCACCCCTTAACAAAATATTGATACCCAACGACATATTTTAAACAGCTTATACAAACGTAAATATCGCGACGCTGCCGACGCTATATTATCCATGAAGGTATGGAACTGAACTGGGTCAAAGCCAGGTTTATCACCATCGTAGGTGAATATAAAAGACCCTGTATCCTCTTTTTCAAATATTTGATCAATACCTGAAATCATAACACAAATGAAATGCCTATTTGTAAAATAATTCGAAGACTTGAATCCAAGACTTCGGCGCTCCGTGTGCTGCCCTTTTATATCTGTCATAGTTCAATTTATTCACACAATGCACCAACCACCCAAATACAAACGGATTGTGGTTCAATATCCTATGCTCAACAGCGCAAGAAGTCAATTAATAGTATTACAAAGATTTAACACATAAAACATAATTTTTACATGTTATTGCATGTGATAACTTAAAATAAAAATCTGTTTCCTGTCTATTTTGTTTAATCTATGATAAATCAGATAAACTCTTGACATTTACATGAACAAATAATTTAGTACCAAATCTTAATTGTATAGTATATTATAACAGTTTTTGTAGGCATATTGATAGTAGGCGCAGATTAACACGAGGATTACCTGTTCGAATTTGCAACATAGCATCCTGCTTTACTTGATATTTTTGTGCCAAGCTTTTCACATCTTTATAGAAATCAAATTTATCATAAGTGTTTTCGTAATATGTTTTTTGAGGATAATATCCAAGCCATATTGCCATTGCAATAACACAAGTGGAAACAAGGATGATAGAGAAACAATTATTAAAAGTTGATCCAGTTTTTTCACCATTCTTCAAGCTTTTTGTTGATATGTTATGGTGTTCATATAACTGTGTATATTCACTTGAGCAATTGCCATCATAACTAGAATTTATACTGTCATTTGTTGGTTGACAATTACTGTGATGAATATTTTCCTGTCTGTAAAATGAAGGGAGTGATAAGACAGCAGGTGAAGATTTGGACAAAACATCAACTCTGGAAAGATAAATATTATTACCTTATTTATGTATCACTTCGCACCTGAATTTATAAAGCACTTTTTAAATGAACCATAAAGCGAAAGTATTTTAAGTGCCCTTTTCAAGTAGAAATGCTAAGCAGATTTACATTTAGTTTGGTATAGGCTTAATGAAGTGATTGTATGAGGTAATAATATGTTTAAAATTACATGCAGATGGGAAAAAGGTTTTGAAAGACATTTTAAATCAAAAGGCAGGAAACATTAGTTAAGCAAATGTACAAGTATATGCATAAATTTCTAAGAAGATTGAAAATAAAAGAAACAAATAAAATAAAGCAGGGGTGTCTTAAGAAAATATTTTTACTAGAAATTTGTAATGAATTTGGGTGTACAAATTCATTCATTAAAAATACTTTTGTCACTTTTGTTTTTATCTGCTATTTAGAAAGTTCTATTTCTTATAATAAATAATTTAATGGCAAATATTTTTTTTAATGAAAGCCAGACCCTATGATTAATGAAATGTGTTTGAGCTATAAGATATTTACTTATGTTATTATTTGAAATTGTCTTAAGATACCACAATATCATAACATAATTATTGTTCCAAGTAACTAACTAATAAAACAATACATACTCATCATCACTACTTTCTGTTAAATTAGCATCAACAGATGATCTTCTTGGTAATAATCTCCTAGTTGTTATAGGACTTGAGTGTCTAATTGGCTTGCTGTAAAAGTTCAGAATTTAGTTTTTATTTTAGATTTGAAATATATAGGTACACCAAGATTTTTTTTTTACAGACTCTAGAAGCCGAAAACAAAATGCTAATAACCTCAGCACATTATCTGGTTCATCGTAACCTTCCTGCACTTTTCGATGGTCTTTATGACGAGTATCATTCATAGTAACAGTATTGTGTGCTTCATGAATACCTTTTCTTGCTGATGGAACAATGTTTCTATACCCCCCGTTCTGAAAATGTACCTTACTTTAATAATATTCGTAACTTCTTTAATATATAATTTACCTGTTACGTACCCTTTGCACTGTCTTGTCGGACATAGAAATAATTAAAGGCACTTTTAAAATTTACAAGTTTTCATAACTTGTTTATGCTGCTGAGAAACCATTCATATTTTACAAAACTTCGAAAATATACGGAAAATATGACATTTAACAAATCGGTAAATGTCAAGAGCTAGGTGACGTTGACAACCTATCGACATATGTTTTTTTATATATTTAATGGCCTGGTAACATAACCTTTAATATAATTTTTTCAATATATTTAGACAGATAATGTTATATGTGGAGTGTATTGAGTGTCGTCATTAGGTCTGGATCAATCTGGATTAAATATTATTTTCGTAGCTAAATCGTTATAGGAACATAAATGTTCCTTGTGCAAAGGGATTCATATATTAATTCATAATTTTAAAATATAATTAACGACATGTTATATTTCTGCTGCTCATATCAACCTTTAAGTTGTAATATTGAGGGTAGTAAACGAACAACAGTACCTCTATATGTTTATTTACGTTCATGTACAAGTCAACTAGAATTTGAACTAAACTTTAAACATTTCAATAAAATGATAGAGAAATAAATAGTATCTGAAATACAGCGAATGCGGACGAGCAGAAACTAAATACATTCCCAGTGCTAGTCATGACGTGTACTGCTTCTCGGAAAATGGGCTTTGAAGGATATACTTCCAACGGTTCTTTTGCTTGTTCCTGGCTTTTCACAATCTGTTCATCCAACCATGCTTTAAAGGTATATATAGGTAAGACATCGACGACATGTTTATTAATGGCATACGATGAAGTAATTTCTTTCGTGCATTCGTTTTGGCCTTTGGTAATGACACCAATAAGTTCATTATCAAATATAACAGGCCCTCCGGCATCACGAAAGCATGTTGGTATCTTAGTGTCAATGCAATCAAAGAAGCCTTGAATTAAGTCTCCACTTCTAGACCGTTTTTCTATTCCAATAAATTGTAAGGTTTTGGATTGTCCCACCTCAGCATTTAAGCCAAATCCTAAAGCTTCCATTTCATTCAAGTTTTTACTATCAGTCACATTGCTCAAGCGAATCTTAGACGCTATAGTGTTGTTATGCTTTTCGGTAAAGAGTATGCCAACATTTTTAGGAGAGTCACCACCAGTATAGGTAGGAAAATTCTCAGTTTTAATAACATGTAATTGTATCACTGTTTCATCCTTTTTGTCAGATGTCGCATTAACTAATGCGTAGCTTACAGTTGGCGTACAATGGGCAGCTGTTAGAATAATACCATTTGAGACTATAGATCCAGAACAAACATATTCATTTCTTTGAGACATAAGGGCGACAACGAAAGGAAATTGTATAGGTGTTGCTGTTTGAATTTCATGCATAATACTGTTTTGTCTTCTTGTGCAGACAGTTATATTGCTATTGTTATTCAGCTCATCTCCAGCGATTTCGATTCCACCTTCATCGCCAACGTCATTGTAGTCAGCGTTTTTTTTCTCGTGTTCGCTTTTACAAATATCTAATAAACTACAGAAGAAAATAAGAAAAAATATTAAACTTCTAAAAAATGTATCCATCATGGTTAAGAATTTCTTGCAAGAATATTTCAAGTTCTATTTTCATTAATCTGAAAAAAATTTTGACACTCTAAATAGAACATTTTCAGCCAGTATTGATTGGTGGTTTTAAAGTTCCCGATATAAGGCCTCTTTTAAAGCATAGAACTAAACTAAAATTCTATTTTAGGTGTATTATGTGGAGTCTAAATAGAATTACTTGACAATCGCTTCAAATTTAATTTCGTAAAGTACGTAAAGTAAGGGAAAGAAAGAAGAAAATTGTGTAATCGCCTCTACGTAGCTTTGCACACGAATATATAGATTTAGTAAAAGTAAATATTATATACAATTTTTAAAATATTTCCAGACGAACAATACAGAAACTTAATGCCGTTGTAAATCCTCTGGCGTGTGGTGTGCGGTATGACAGGAGAGAAGAAACGAAGGAAAATTAATTTATATTTGAGAGGTCTCGTTGCGAGCGCTGTGAAAATGGTTTAAGTAACCAAATATAATGTATGAAAGAATTATTCTATTTAACATCTCTTGTAAAATTTACTCGCAAGTACGATGGGACGTGGCCGATCTTGCCGCTATAATTTATAAAGGTAAGAAGGTTCAAAGCAAAAATAAATAATATTATGGAAGTGATAGTGCGAGTGAGTGTAGGAATGAGAGTGGGAGTTAGAGTAGAAGTGATGTGAGGTAAGAGTGTTGCGGCAAAGTAGCACATACTAAATAATTAAAAATTCTACCACAAGTCACTATTCCACGCGGACGAAGTCGCGGGCACGGCTAGTATTATATAAACTCAATTATTCGTACTCTCTGTATTATACGTAGTCTGTATCTATGTAACTCTGGTGACTGTAAAAAGTTGTAACTTTGGCTGTAACGACAGTATCCACTATCCAGTTATCCACTATCTAGTATAATACGGTCGACGTAACTTGGCAAGTCTGATCTTATCGCGAAACGAGGATTATTAGGATGTTAACGGTGGTAAGAGCGAGGTGCGCGGGACGGAGATCTAGGCTAGAGATTGACCCATTGTCAACACAATCGACCGTTTATTATATTAAATTTCGTAATCGATTTTTATCGATTTTGATAATGAATTCTTAATCGTATGAGATATTGTCGTAGATGGACCATTACTGTGCTCATAAAGAGCACAGTGAATGGTGTTATTAATAATAATACCATGATGACTTTTAAAGAAAAATAAAATCATTAAAAACTTGTTTGTCTTTATTGAACGACGTGATTTAGTTAAATATGAGTTATTTGTTATATAATTACTGTTTTTATATACATATTTTTACCTTCTTTAAATCTTTTTATACAAATATTTTTCTACGATCCAATTTTGTCTATTTCAACAGGAATCGATTAAACGACACCCTCAAGGAACGAGTATGGACATCTCTATTTAGTTATTTTGTAAAGCTTCGTACATATTCGGTAATGTTCGGTAAACTGTAGTGTGTCTCGGTCACTCCTTGGCGTTTATTTTGTTATCTCTGTCTTGGGCGCAGTCAAGTGCAGAAAAGTGATTGTATATTGTTAAATTTAATACTAATATTTCTCTTTTGTCTCAGTATTTTATTGAAAGATAAGTGATTAAGCCCTTATTTTCTTTTTGGAATAATTATTGGTATGTTACTTTTGCTTGCTATAGGTAAAATGTTTCATTTATCCCAGTAACGAAAATAAATGGCAGTATTAGTTTTCTTCACGAGTGTACATGCGCCAAAGTTCGTCTAACCTCTGTTCAGACTTGCCAAGTTACGTCGGCCGTATTCTAACACTAGTGACAGTAACGAAGTGACCAACAAGTCAGTTGCCACAAGAACAATAATCTATTTTTATTAATTTTAAGCATGTTATTGTAAAAATTGAATAAAACATACCATAATACTTAGCTAAAGGACAAGAGGGAAATTGTGAAGTGATAACTTTTAGTTAACACAGGTACGAAAAATAAATAATAAATTGTATTATTTTAAAAATAATTATCTTTAATACATTCAGTATAATAACAGTATTCCAGATTTATAAAGATGTCTAAGAAAAAGGGTGGAAAGAAACATTTAGATGTAGATGAAGATTTTGAAGAAAAGAAAGCTGTTGGCAGTGACGATATAACCTCAAAGAGTAAAGGGAAGGGCAAAAAGAAAGGTAAAGAAGTTGCTGATTTTAGCGATGGAGAAGCTGGAGATATAAAGAAAGTTCACGGATCAGATGAAGAGGAAGAAATTAAACCTGCTGCGAAAAAATCTCAAAAGAAAGGTAAAAATTGCTTAAAGATTTAACAGCTGGCATTTCCTTGACAAGCACAGTGTGATGTGCTTAACTTTGGTGCAAATTCACAGAGGACACATCCTAATAAGATCTTTATTGTTAAAGTAATAGATTAATAATGTTATATATTATGCTAAAATAATATATTAGATATTGTAATTTGAAGTCTTGGTTGAAAATTACATTGTTCATGTTAAAAAAAATATTTTTTAGTCTAGCTGGATATTTGTTGAACCTACCGGTGTAGTTCTTATGACTGTCAAGCATTGCAAGATGTTGCATAACAGTAAAACAATCTATAATTCTAGGAAAAAACAAGAAGAAAGTTGATCAATCAGATGATGAGCAAGATGACAAATCAGTTGTTAGTAATGCAACAAGTACAGCCTCAAAACCCGCTGCTAAAGCCAGTAAGAAAAAGAAAGGTATGTTTGTTACTATTGTTCTCTTTTCTTCTCACATATACCAGTACAATCCCAAACTATGATTATCAGATCAAGTTACCAAGATTTGTTAAATGCATCAGACTATGTTAGTACAAATTTTTATCTTATTACAGGGAAGGGTAAGAAGGATGACGATTGGTCAGATGAAGGTGGCGATATAGAACTTAAGCAAGTTTCTGAAGAAGAGGAGGTGAAACCAGTTTCAAAGAAAAAAGGTTCTATTTACTGCATATTTCTTTGAATATCATTGCTGTCCCAGTTAGTGTTGAGTAGAAATACCATTAAGTGAACATCCAAAGCTAAATTAGGTTGACACTGCATTTAGTTTAGATGTTTTATGGCTGGGGTATTTCTCCATCAATCAAGTGAACTCCAGGCTTGTTTGTTTAAGATTAAGAAAAATCATTTAAAAAAATAGAGTTGGTAACATTACCATTTACCTACTCGAAATTTACAACGATAGGACATTGTACCAATTATGCTCTGTAATTATGATTTATTCTATATATACATTGTCCTTAAAATATAATAAAGATATATAAATTATGTTTTAGCAAAAAATAAGAAAAAGGTTGTTGAATCTGAGGAAGAGGTGTCAGACAATGAGGATGCAAAATCTGTGATCAGTGATGTTTCAAGTAATACCGCACAGCCGAAAAAAAAGGCGAAAGGTGAGTTGGCAGAAAGTTCAACATACTAAAAAATTTATTTGATAAATTTTGAAAGCGTGGTTGGTGTTAATGTGTGGCCCTAGGGCAAAATACTCAATATGTGTTTTTAGTATTTTCTCTATAGACCTATGCGTAGAATGTCTTAAAACTGTCCACAACCCTATTGACTAATAAGTCATAATAATAATTTTACAGCCAAGAATAAAAAGAAGGCTGCTGCTGATTCAGATCAATCGGAAAATGAAGACTCAAAATCAGTAGTTAGCAACATTTCAAGCAATCCACCGCCCCCAACAAAAACAAAAAATGCAAAAGGTATTATTTCTATAATAAAATAAGTAATTTACTGTATGAGGTTGATACACAATTTAATTAAATAAAATAGTAAAATTCTACATTGTAACATTATCCATTTCACAAAATTGTAATGTTTTTCAAAATAAATTATTAAATAAATAGATATATTCCTCCTTTTCAATCCCTTTGCTTTTTTCTATTAGGAGACGATAGCAGAATAACGTTTTAGATATATCTAGACTAAATTGCGTTTTTAATAAGTTACTAAAAACAATTCAGGTAAAAGTAAAAAAGACGATTGGCCAGAGGAAGAAAGCGATAAAGAGCTTAAAATTGATTCTGAAGAAGAAGACATATTAAAACCTGTTGTTAAAAGTAAATGTAAGTGACAGTCAATTGTATGTTTTAGTAAATTCACATTTATTGTATTGAGAACATTGTTTTATTTTTTTTACAGTAAAGAATAGGAAGAAAAACAACATTGACAATATAGAGGAAGAGATGAAAAAGTTTCAAATTAAAGATTCTGATCCAGAGGAAGTAAATGAAACGGTATATTCAAACAACCATTTTATAATGTATTTTTTTTTACCATTTTTTGTGTACATCAACTGAGACGAAACACATAATTAAAATATATGTGTGATATTTTACAAGTTTAAAAAAAACATAAGTCTCAACTACACCTTAAAAGTAAAGAACTAATCATTGATATTGATAAAAAAGATATTCTTGATCTTAAATATAAGTTGTATCTTAGGAGGAGGCAGAAAAGGAAGAAACAAAGCCAGAGGAAAAGAAAATGAGTCACAAAGAGAAGAAAAAGCTGAAGAAACAGCAGGAGTATGAGAAGCAAATGGAGATGTTGACTAAGAAGGGTGGTCAGGGTCACAGTGATTTGGATGCTAACTTTACAGTCAGTCAAGCACAAAAATCTGCTGGTGAGTAATCAAAGCGACGTGTTTTCTAAGGTGTGTGTTAAACCCCTTTTGTTGAATGTAAGGTTTGCTTTGCACTGCATTCCTTGGGAGTCTCACTATCAAATATTTATATTACTGAATAGATTGTGTACCTCTGGGATTCAAACCTAAGTCTTTTACGCTTATTATACAAAGCATGTAACCACTGAGTTACTGAGACGGTTGCAACTAATGAAAACTAAACACCAAGTGAATTGAAATTTAACGCTTTGAATGTATTAACAAATAAGCAGTAAACATCTGTTTTTATGTAGGAATAAAAAAATGGATTACCTTTTTTGTAATAATAGTTCCGCGTATATGAAGTGGGAAGTGGAAGTTTTAAAGTGGGTAGTCATTCCAGTTTTTAATAGGTGTCTCTAAAAGAATTAATAATTTGATATCAATATTAATTTCAGGTCAGATGGCGGCCTTAGAAAACGCCGTAGACATCAAAGTTGAAAACTTCTCTATAGCTGCAAAAGGGAAAGACTTATTCGTCAATGCTAACTTATTAATTGCAAATGGGAGAAGATATGGTCTTGTAGGTCCTAATGGGCACGGAAAGACAACGCTCTTAAGGCATTTAGCACAAAGGGCTTTTCCATTACCCCCACATATCGACATATTGCTCTGTGAACAAGAAGTTACGGCCAGTGATATGAGCGCAGTAGATACTCTGCTGGAGTCTGATGTTAAGAGGAAAGGTAAGTACGAATTTTTGTTGAACAGCAATATTACACTTCATACCATATTAAAATATAATTGTCTATATTTGTAGGTTATTTTTTTTATATAACCTCTAAAGTCAAATACTTATGCTTTTGTTTTGTGTATTTATGGTAAGAAAATCTCAGTGTTCTGCAGTTATTTAAAAAAAATGTATATATTTTACAGAGCTTCTAGAGGAATGTAAAGAATTGGAAGGGCTAATTGAAAAAGGTGATCTGACAAAACAAGATAAATTAAACGAGGTTTGTGATATCCTGATGTTTATTTCAATTTTTTTACGCAATGTTTGGTTCTTCGAGCCGGAATTATTTGAAAATGTCTTTTAGGTATACGCTGAATTAAAAGCGATAGGTGCTGATTCTGCCGAACCACGTGCTCGTCGTATTCTCGCTGGTTTGGGTTTCAGTAAAGAGATGCAAAATAGGGCTACTAAAAACTTCTCCGGAGGTTGGCGTATGAGAGTCTCACTAGCTAGGTAAGAACATTTAATAAAAAAAACTTTAATTGAGATACTGTCTGTAGTTTATGCGAGTAGTACCTACACATTTAAATAAAACACTTTAACGGTTTAAAAGGCGGTAGGTTTAAAAGCATCCGTAACGTCGAGTTATACACTTATTTGAAAAGAATTTGTAAATATACTCCCCGTGACTACACATGACACACACACAACACAACACTCAGAAACATGAAGCACAACGTCTTATCACATGTGACGAAAGAACGAGAACTTTGTGCTAAATATAAGAAACTGTACAATGATTGCTAACATGGCCGTGACACCATAAACATGAAACACATCTTCCCATCTTATCTTACTCATTTTGTCACTGATGTTACAAAGTAAAATAATATTTCAATTTTAATATTTTCAGGGCATTGTATATTGAGCCGACACTCCTGTTGCTTGACGAACCGACAAACCATTTAGATCTTAACGCTGTTATTTGGTTAGATAAGTAAGTATTGTTCAGGTCTTGTATTATATCTTTTTTATTTTTCATCGTTAGATGTTCACGGTTAATGGTATTTTTATAATGTATTTATAATTTATCTTCTAGTTACCTCCAAGGGTGGAAGAAGACACTGCTAGTAGTATCTCACGACCAGTCTTTCCTTGACAATGTGTGTAACGAGATCATACACTTGGATCAGCAGAAATTGTACTATTACAAGGGAAATTACTCCATGTTCAAGAAGATGTACGCGCAGAAACGAAAGGAGATGATCAAGGAATACGAGAAGCAAGAGAAGAGGCTGAAGGAGTTAAAGGCTCATGGGCAGTCTAAGAAAGCAGCGGTATGTTATGATTTTCGTGGTTTTTACTTGTTTTGAAGAGTAGCTGTGCCCGCGACTTCGTACGCATGGAATAGTTATTTTGGGCATCATAATATTATTTATTTTTGTAAACAACCTCATCAGCTCAGTAAATTATAGCCCATGATGTTGTCTTTACCTCTTAATCTTAAAAGATAGAAGTATTTTGTTGCAGACTTTTTTAGATCTTTTAGAGAAAAATCATTCTTCGATATATATATTTTGGTTTCTTAAGCCGCTTTCACAGCGCAACGGAGGCCCTCAGCGCTTCTTGGCTCCGATTGGTCGTAATCTAAAGTTTTATAGCCTAAAGCCTTTCTTGATAAATGATCCAACCAACACAAAAATATTTGTTTAAATATGAGCAGTTCCTGAGATTAGCGATTATAAACAAATTCTTCAGCTATTCAATATTAGTATGAGATTCAGTCGATCTACTGATTTCATAAATCTATTGATTAAAACCATATTTCTAGTTTCACATTCTTGAAATAGATTTATTAATAGATTATATATGTAAATGTACACAGTAAAACGTGATTAACCTACCAATAAAATTAAATGATGCAAAAATGGGCTTCAAACAGGTGGAAGTCCTACTTATGCTCAATCGATGAAAAGCGTTAGAACCGTCTAGTGAGTGTGAAAGGTAGTCATAAATGTGATTTTTAATATTCACGTTGTTAGGTGATATCTGTGTCATCTGTAGCGCCACCGTCTCTTATGGTCTTTACGTAACTTAGAAAAAATATATATTACTATACATTATCTCATTCTCTATAAACAGGAAAAGAAACAGAAGGAGGCACTCACGCGCAAGCAAGAGAAGAACCGAAGTAAGTCACAGCGGGAGGAAAACGAGGATAACGCGGCGCCTGTTACTCTTCTGCAGCGACCTAAGGAGTATATCGTCAAGTTTAACTTCCCGGATCCTCCTCCTCTTCAGCCGCCTATACTTGGATTGCACAGTAAGACTCGTTTTGTTAGGCTAGTATGTCTAGTGGTAGGAATGTATGACTACACAGTTTTTAGTTTGATTCTCATCGAAACTATAAGTATCTACAATTTTTTTTTTCTTAAATAAGTATGTTTGTCAGTAAAATTCTGGATAATAAGTGATGCTTGTCAATTTTTTATTACAATAAAAAAGAACTTAAGAGACTTAACACAAACTCTACTTGCATGTTTTTTAAATAAAACACAATATAAACCGCGATACATATTACAATATATTTTAACTACGGCCCGACGTGTCTGATGCTTCGCAGCGTTTTAAACCTTGAAGTGTTTTATTAAAATGTGTGTGTAAAGAACAAACAATACCTGTAATTTTTTTTGTTAGACTTGAATCTTCTTTTCTTTATATGTTCTCGATTTTGTAGGAAATTTGAATAGTCAACCAGGTATTTTAAACACATTTTGTATTAGGTATCTAAAACATTTTAGTCAAATTTTACTTTATTTAATCCTTAAGATTGAATTTCGATTGTTCCTGTTTTTTAGTATATCAATATTTTCAGACGTCACCTTCAACTTCCCCACCCAGAAGCCATTGTTCATCGAGGTGGACTTTGGTATCGACCTCAACTCGCGTATAGCCATAGTGGGGCCGAACGGAGTTGGCAAGTCTACCTTCCTCAAACTGTTAGTGGGAGAGTTGAGTCCCATACGAGGGGAACTATTGAGAAATCATAGACTGGTAAGGATTTGAATATTGTATAATATTTGATTTTAAATTAATGTCTTAGAATAAAAGATTAATACGTTTATTCAGAAAACAACACACAAAAACAAACATATATTATTTGTGTCGATAGAGGCATAAGTCCCAACAATCACATTCTATGGTGTGTGGTATGTGTGTGAGGTAGTTTGACATTTCCTATATTAAGTATCTTTATACACAAAGACTTAACACAATTGTATTTAATAGTATAGGTATATAATAAACAATAGTTAACGGAATAGGTACTTGAAAATTCTTTCACTTGCGTTTTTATACTAGTTTGAATGTTTATCTTACATTATTCACGTTCAGTTTAATCGCGTTTCGGTGCCAGTCTGTGGATTTACTAATATAAAGCTAATAAATGTCGAGAGCACATCTTGAGACGTTATATCTCGTCTTATCTGCTTTATCACAAGAAACTATTTCTAATGATCTTAGTGGTTCCTGCGTATATCTCAATTAAATGTAATAGTTTGTTAATTTTTTTAAACAATTAAAAACTACTAATAAACAACAAAACTTATTACGTTTTCAGTTAACTACCAAATGTAGGTACATAAAGTAGTTGTAAGTTAATATTCCCTCGATTTTCTGCAGAGAATCGGACGTTTCGACCAGCATTCCGGGGAGCATCTGACTGCTGAAGAGTCCCCAGTGGAATATCTGCAACGGCTGTTTGGTTTGCAGTACGAGAAAGCTCGTAAGGCACTCGGGACTTTTGGCCTTGCCAGCCACGCGCACACCATCAAGATGAAGGACCTGAGTGGTGGGCAGAAGGCGAGGGTCGCGCTCGCTGAACTAACCCTGATGGCGCCTGATGTTATTATATTGGTGAGTGATCATATAGACTGGCCGTTGCTCTAACCAATTGAGCTACCGAGTCCCTATACGTCATCGTTGAATTTTTCAATCTATTGATACATGAACCTCTTGCGCAATGTAATTTCAACCTTAACGCTTAAACTTTTTAATAATACACTTATCGCCGGTTAAAATGCGAAATTTACTAATTTAATGTAAAATAATGTAATTCGTGTTTTGAACCGTTGAAACTTTTTCTTCAAATGCGTACATTCACGTAAACTACAAGCCAAAAACTGTTGGAAGTCTATTTTAAAGAATTGCACATTTTTTATAAAGTATTTTTTCTTGTCACAGGATGAACCTACGAATAACTTGGACATCGAGAGTATAGACGCTCTAGCGGAAGCCATCAACGAATACAAAGGTGGTGTTGTGATCGTGTCCCACGACGAGCGACTCATTCGGGAGACTGAGTGCGCCCTCTATGTTATCGAGGATCAAACAATTAATGAGGTACATTTATAATTGCTATACTTTAAAATTTTCAGACCTAATAGTAAAGTACAGAAGCCGGCAAGGAGGCATTGGTGGACAAATACGTAAGTCCATGAACGCCTAGGGGTTGTCCATTAATCACGTGACCTTTTTTAAGAATTTTTAAACCCATTGATAGTGTGTCAAGTGATGCCCGGAGACCACCCCTTACCCCTTCTCAACATTCAACAAAGAATCTTAAAATTTTCTGAATAATCTTAATAAAATAAAAATAAAATACAGCTACAAACTATAATCTTTTTTACTATGAAATTAAGGACCATAATAAAAATGTCTCATCATTGGTTTAAAAATCTCGGGTTCGAAAAGTAAACCACGAGATGTCTTACTATAAATTCAAATTTTATCTGTAAATGATTATAGAATTTCTCATTTTAGGTTGACGGAGACTTCGATGATTACCGTAAGGAGCTTTTGGAGAGTCTCGGCGAGACAATCAACTCGCCGTCTATTATCGCCAACGCGGCTGTATTGCAGTAGACAACTCGGTTTTACATTGATTCAGAAATGTCTTCGCAAATTGTCTTATTGGTGCTGTAACAATAATAAAGATGGAATTTTTACTTCAAGTCCTATTCTCACGTGTCGTGGTACCAAAAAATGTAAGCAAAAAAACTCTTTTCACAATTTTAAATCTCGAAATATATTAGGTCGACTTATTTATATTGTTAAAAAAAATAATACATTTCGGTTACGTAAATTTTTTAATACGGAAGTCTTTCCTCTCCAATTTCGAATACGGGACTTCGTTATCTGCAGTGCACTTATTACTAGACCAACAGGACATTTTATTGTCGGTTACGATTTGTCATGCGGAAAAATATTAAACATTTTAGACTGTTTTTTTACCAATGGCCTGTTATATTTATTTGTGAAGATTCGGTCTTATTGTAATGTCGATTGTGTCTATATAGTAGCTAGATAATTTGTTATCTCATTTATTTCCCTTATAATAAGTATTGTATAGTCTGAATACTAAAATTCTTAATTTTGCGGACTGTACATATTTGAATATCTGCTTGAAATAACTTCCAATATATATGTTAATAAATTTTGTTATAAAAACGATTGTCTGTATTTTACTTTGCTATTTCCTTTATAGTTCAATAGGTCATTTTTTAAACCTTTAACGGTTTAAAACCGTTGTGACGGGGAGACGCGGCCGCTGTAAAGCATCTGATAAAGCGTCGGGCCGATGTTAACAATAATTTTCAAATAAGTTTAATTAATATATCGCGTTATAAACTGTTAGTGTTTTATTTAAATCTGTACTAGTCGCGTAAACTATGGATAGGTCGCTAGTTTTATATGGGCGAAATTAACACAACTATTATACAGACTTCGATGTTTGTCTGCCCTCACGTCTGTCTAACGGGGATAAAGTTGAAGAAAAACTTCTATTCCTCCCGATTGGGAATGGCGCGAACACATTTCTGTGCCCGTTAACTAACTCCTTTTTTACAGGCAAGAATTGATCGGACTTCTGTGTTAACCGACTGAAAAATTTTATTGTTTTCGAACCCAGGACCTTTCTCGCTTTATGCAATTCTAGGCAACAAGTTTGATATAGAGTTAGCTAATTTACATAAAGTATGTATTCATGTCGCCGTTATTCCAAAAATAAATTAAAATATGGGGGCTAACGTATATTTAGCAAAAATAGCAATATTAATAAACGGTATTGATTTGGTGTACTAAGTCACGTTTTCTGTGTACGTACTACATGTACGTACGTAAATGCTTCGTTATGTAACGCGTTATGGCGTTATCTTTCGATTTCTACACCAAATACTGTCGGCATTACAATAGCAAGCAGTTACTATTGACGGGGTTGTTGGTGTAATGGTAGCAAACGTATGTATATATTTTCTGAAATAAATTAAACTTCGTTCCAAATCTGGATAATGAATGGGTCACGAACCACCGTCTACAGATTAAAAAACCGTAAAGTTAAAACGCGTTTCGGGTTCAGTCTGTGTAAATCCAGTATCCAAAGTCAAATTAGGTCTTGCACTTTATACACCTACTAACAAGTAAACAAGCATTTATATATGTACTTGGTAAATAAGGAAACTGGGCGTATTTACCTCTTAAATAGAATAATTAAGAAATGGGAAAGGAGCGAAATAAAAAGCCCTATTAATCGACGTCACAATGACGGTACAATTTAAAGCCGTACAAAACAAGAGTACGAGGGAATAAATAAAAAGCTAATTTTAAAAGGAATGTTTTGCATTCGCGGCAAATGAGGGCGACTCGACGTTTCTCGTTAAGATAGCCGCGGTCTCGTCTCGAGTTTTTTCCTGAATTTGTTCGCAGCCTTTCGCCTCTCCATTATAAACTTCTCGGCTTCATTAGAGGATTTAAAACGCAAATTTCCTTTTCGATTGTAACTTTTTTTCCACTTCTTGAAAGGAAGCTTCTTTCAGAGTGGGGAGGAAATTAGTATCCTTCCCTTTGAGGGGTGGAAACGTGTTTTCAAGATTTTAATCTCACAATCTGGTTGTTATCATCGTTTATATCAAGTAACGTAATATTTAATAGTTAATATTTAGGAAGTGTAGCTGCTTCTCTAGCTAAATCGTTAAACGTGTAAATAATAAACAATGCATTAAGCTCTAGAAGTCAGGAGTTTGAATCCCGGGAAAACAATGAATGTAAATATATATTACTTAGTTAAACTTATTTGAAAATTATTTTTAATTACGGCCCGACGTTTCGGATGCTTTGCAGCAGCCGTGCTCACGGGGAGACCTTTTTACAGTGTTTTATTTAAATGTGTACTACTCGCTACTAACTACGGACAGTTGATATTTAAATAAGTACAAGGAGACATATTTATATTATACACTTCCGTTCAAATAACAAAGAAATAGACGGGAAATTATTACACAAACCCCAACAAGACTTTCATGTTTCCACATGAGACCACTAAACGTATTACACTAATGTACTGAATTATCTATTAACGACAACAATAAGAGGTATGCCAGAGAGCCTATTACCGTCTAGAGAGTTATCCGCCCCTCCTTATATAGTTCCACCCTTGTCGCACTCAACACTACCACGATCTCCTAAAATAACGCACCGCGCCGCTCAGTAGCTTACGTCGACAAGGTTCCAACGATACACAATGTGTACACAATAGAAGCGATTATTTTCCCCCCCGACATGATTTTATTTGTGCAGTTATTACAGTCTCGTCGAAAGATATTTAAATTTCATTAGGTTTGTTTTACACTTAATTTGCGAGGGGCGCCCCTATTGTATCTTTGGGGTGGGGCCCTATTATTGCTTTGAGCTTTGCAACTTATTTCGTGTTACCCTTGTTGGATTGCTGATTTGAATTTGGGAGATGTTATCGGGCTTTCATGGTGTTAAGTAGAGTATCAAAGGACTTTTAAAAAGCGAGCGATGTTTTTTGATGCTAGGTGAAATACTCCGTCATATAACATCTGAACACTATCAAGTAATTTTGGCTTTGGATATTCGGAAATCCACAGACTGAAACGAGATTGAACTGGACGGCCTTTTTATCTGTTGTTGTTGTTGCATTTAATATCCAGTTGTCCAGACAAAAACTCAGTTAGAAATTGTATAAATTGATTGGGAAAATGATGAATCGGTGAATCAACACTCCTATGTTACCCGTAATTGAATCATATCACCAACGAGCCCCTTTACCAGACCACTAAGTTGTTACTTATTTAGTATTCAACAATATTATCGTTTATAGTTTCAATATTTGTTGCAAGGGATAAGTTTTTAATAAATCATAAAAAAACTATATTACTTACCTACTTACTAGAAAAATCCCAATAGCTACGATCAACTACAATATGTAAAGTCAAGTTACTAACATAGCCTGGCGTTAATAAAAGCGTTAATCTGTTCAAAACAAATTCGGAACTTAAAAAACTCCTTTAACGGTTTAAAAAACTAAGTATTTAGTAACTTATTTACATTAACCTCCATTTTCACAACCTCTGCAAAGTATCCGACACGTCGAGTCGTAGTTGAAATAAATTGTAGATAAGTTCGTTAATATATTTCGCATTTTAAACCGTTAAAATGTGTTATGTGTACTATGTTACCGTTACCGCCTTAAGAAATCCGATGTAGATCTGTAGAGATATAGTTATTATGTTGATTGGGCTAACTCGATGTTGTGTAGAAGTTATTAATTATTTCGGAAACCGAGTTGGGAAACGTGAACACGTTAGCGCCCTCTATGTAAGTGGAAACATTTCGCAGACGTAGACTCCATTAGCAGTGTTCGCCGGACTGTCACAATCATTTTTCTTTCCCGCTGCCGCTAATTCTCAGCCGCGCTTCAGTGAGCTTATACTGCGAGCGACTAGATTTGAGCCTTTATAATTTATTTTGTTACCCACGGAGTCGTGCGCGTCTTGCAATAAAAGATAGGCAATTAAAAGTCATTCTTTCAATTGGTTTCTTGAATCATTTTCGCAGCGTACACAACGGATGCCCTCTAAGGTAATTTCACCCATTTTTGCGATATTTCACTCTGTTTCTTCGATTCTATTGCTCGCCCGATGCCTTATAGTTCAAAGTCCTCTTCCTAGACAAATATTCTATCCAATACAAAAAGATTTTTCAAATCGAAAGAGGTTCCTGAGAATTAGTAGAACTAAGCACGTTCTAACAAACAAACACACTGTTCAGCTTTATCCTCCGCCATCGTAATTTGTGTTAGTAAGTTGTCTGTGTGTTTTTTATTCCACATAAATTAACTTATCTTTAATTTGAATTATAATAAATAAAAGTTTTGATCCCATTTAATATATAGCCTTGTTTTACACGCCGTGAGTTGGGATGGCCTAGTGACACCTGCATATGAGCTTTAAAGATCTAGAGTTCCCAATCAGAGTTTCGCCAGCATGGTAAAGGCATGCCTAGTAAGAAGACCAACAGTAGTGGGACGAACAGCAGTAAAGGAACAATCATTTTGTTCGCCAACGTTTAAATTGTAAATAGTATAAGATTTATATGAAAAATGTCAAAGAGTGTGAATAAAGGTTTTTTTTGAATTGAAATTTCAACCTTGTATATATAATTTAAATGTATTTTTAAATCAATGAATGAAACTTTAAAACTAACTACAATGTAAAATTCGATACCAATGAAATAATATGTATATTTTTCATGTCATAAACGCCAAGTATCAAAACTAGTGAGCCTGGGGTCGAATGGTAGTTGATATCGACTTTTATTACTGCGGAGGGGTTGGTCATTAGCGAGATAAAGCGGCTGCCACCTGATAAAGTGCGTTTTGTTGCTCACTTATTTCACTGTTTCCTACCACAATCGATATTGTTTATATTATTTTATATATTGGAACTTTTATTCACGCAATCTAAGATCGAAAAAATTAACACGATAAGAAGACGAAACTAGGGTTTTCAATGAAAACCTTCGCATTCTTAAACCTGACCCGGCTTTTGTCATATAAAATACCA